TAGTCAGATGCCACAGGCAGGGATGCATTTACCAAACAAAAATCACAAGAGACAGAATCCCAAACATGGCAGTCAAAGACACAAGACTACCACACACTGCAGTCTGGGCCATAAGCTCGAGGTAAATCTTTCATTATGGATAGCATATATGGATTTAGCACCATGAGTTGTTATTTTTCCCGTTGTGAATTTGAAAATAAAGAGTCTAGATTACAGCATCACTATATTGAATACTTTACAGTCCTGGAGAACTGGTAATATCTAACCATGAAGAGATGGGTGCCTTCGCCTGTCTAGCTGCAGCCTGAAATACTACTTGACTTACATTTGTCATAATGCTGTAAATAGACAAACTTCTGCACTTCTACTGCATTTTTATTATCCTTGGTGACAAGAATAAAAATATTGCCCCTAACATCACCAATTACTTCTGAGGAGAGAATCCAAATGCTTAGCTGTAAGAAATTAATAGTATTTTTCTAATTTGATAAGTAGGTGCTGCTAGCACGCCTACAGATCACATCCGCATCAAGAGGTCTGCTGATTCTCAAACACAGCTGATCTTTCAGAACTCAGCTTAATTGCCATCAGGCTCTGATCAGACTCACCATTTCAAAACAAGCTGTATTACATGCATAATTTATGCATTTGATTTCAATAGATCATTTCCTGGCCAGTTCTGAGAGGGCAGAAAGTGTTTTCCATGGGGAAGCTGTTAAAATTTTCTGAAGAACAAAACTGACTTCCATAGAATCTTAGAACAGTTTGGGTCAGAAGGGACCTTAAGGATCATTTAGTCCAATACCCCCACCACGGGCAGGGCCCCCTTCCCCCGGCCCAGGGGGCTCCCAGCCCCGTCCAACCTGGCCTTGAACCCTTCCAGGGAGGGGGCACCCACAGCTGCTCTGGGCACCCGGGGCCAGAGCCTCACCGCCCTCAAGAACAATTTTTAAGAAATATTATTTGTGAAGAGATGCTACATTAAGTAAATGATGGACTGTTTGAAGTCTCCTACATTTATTCAGACAGCTATTGCAAATTTTCTCTATGCCTGTTTACCACAATCTATTTAGCTTTAGCTTATTGAACTGAGAGTTACTGCTGGAAGTAGTTAAAAACTGAAATTGTGTGTATTGCCATAAATGAATATATGGCCAACATAAGAATCTGGAATACTGGTATCTGTACTGGAACTCAATTTAGAGAACTTCATTTTTTATTCTACCACAGTTTATCCAGGTAAATGCCACCGAAGGCAACATTAACATCACTAGTCCAAATTCTTGGCTGGTGTAAATCAGCACATTTCTATTCATTTTTGTTGAATCACAAAAACTTATGTTTGCTGGCAACTTGAATTACTGGGCTTGAATTTTATGAGTGCAGCAGTTTCTCTGAAGTCACAAAGAGTAACTTCACTCCTGCATTGCAAGAACCTTTTAAGGATTAATTAATGTTTAAAGATATTTTGAGTAAGTACTGTATATTAACACTCTGAAGGCCTACTAGGCTACTTGAATTTAATACACTAGACAAGGTACCTCAAGAAGTAATTATTTTTACATATATTTCCACTGTGGTTTAAATAAATTTTGCTAGATGTGATTCACAAGTTTTACATGCCGCCTCCTACTTTTTTTTTTCCTTCAAATTCTTCCTCCTTAATTAGGTACTCTTCCTTTAACTTTATTACTATATGCTTGGTTACACCACTAGAAAAAAACCCAAACAAACAAAATCTCATCTAGTAAGGTACAACCCTATGAAATTAATGCAAAAAAACCCCAAAAAAACCACTTGATTTCTGCTTATGTAGCTTACACAGAAAGTACATAGAATTCTCCAGGTTAGGCCTGGAGCTAGAGGAAATACCTTCCAACATTCAACCATCATGTAAGCAGCCACAAAGAATTGAATAAAGCTGAGCCATTTTGCACCACACCGATTTAAGAACAATCCCTACATCAAAGCAGCGTATCATAACAGATAGGTCAATAAGAATAAAGCTGTATTGTATTCAGAACAATTCCTGTAAGTGACTGGGTTAAGCTGAGACATTCAAGTTAGCAAAAACCAGTCCTTAAAATTTTTCTTCAATCAAAGTAAGTCAATTGGGGAAGCAGTCAACAAGTTCGGCTTTGAGAGCTGAAGGGGAGATATTCAAAGGGAAGGGCAGGTGGCATGCCCTGCAACAAGCTGGAGGGAAGCGTGGCTAGGGACTTTTTTTAGCCATCAGAGGAACAAGAGATGTATGTGGTCTAACATATTCTAAAACCACTTGACACCAATCTGACAATGCAAAGGGTGTTTGCATAAATGAGAAGTTCATCAGTTTTTCCCTGACACCAGCCCACGCCTCCATCTAGAACTCCCTCTTCTCACACCCCCAGCCCTGCTTTTCATTTCTGTCGTCACAGACTTGATTTTCCCTTTCATGGATTTTTGCTTGAAAAAGCATCACTGCCTCAATTGTCTATTTTCAGCCTATATTTAAGAAAACCCTTTGGTTCCATTTGTAGCCACATCCTGTCTCAGCCTCCCCCTCTTTTTGTTCCTAAATATAAGGCTGATGCAATTTGATGTGACATGACAAAATAGCACATTTGCATCGGCAGAAACTTTCTCTCAACAGCAGTAATTAAAGGGAGTAGATGAGACATTGCTGAAATTGGTGTTTATTTAGCCTGGAAATAAAAGGCTTAAAAGAAGACCTGAGAGGGATGTTCAAGTGTGTCATGAACATGAAATGTATCGATGAGTGCCTTCTTTTACATGGTTCCTCACTGCAAAAGCAAATGTTCGTTCAAACAATGTAATCAATTTAAAGAGATTTAAAAAAAAAAAAAAAAAAATCAGAGATTTCTGTAGACCATACTCCTAACCAGTGAAAATCATTTATATGTGTTTCTTTGAATTATAAATAGCACTGAGATACTTGTGGTAACACATAAGACAAGGTCATTGAATCTCTAACCTCAGAGAACAGGCGCTCCTAAATTGAGTAGGAAAGAACTGAAATCTCATTTACTACAGTGAAAAATAGGTGCTTAAATATCTTAACTTTTTGAGCAGAGATGCAGCAGCAGCAGATGGGTACTCACCTTCTCCTACACCACAGATAAATTGTTAAAGACAGGAATTCAGAAGTGGCATCCCAGGGCTCTGAATGCTAGGACTTCAACAGGATTCATATGGCAAATTAAAAAACCCCACATATCTACAGAACTTATGAAATCGTTTACGGAGATTGGTTTTGCTGAATGGATACACTGCAAATACTTGACAAGATCAGATGCTGTCAGCTTCCTGCACTGTATTGCATTATGAACAGCAGCAATAGAAGGCAGTGGTGGGAAGGAGAGCAATGTTTGGAAGTTGAGGAGTTTCTCTTGATTATTAGAAAGTAAATTTAGTTTACTTAATCCATATGAAGAATTCATGGAGAGGTCTGATGGATGTTCCACAGGCATAATATGCTTCCAAGTGAAACTTCCTGCTCTCAGGTGAATCTTTGGCCTCTTCCTGCTCACATGAGTCTATTCTTTTAAATCCATCTGTGTTCGGCACTACCACTCTGTTTAAAACTGGCAGACCACATTTTGAGCAGGCTCATTTCCATCCCAACACAGATGGCATCCAGAATAGGGTAGGCCAGAAAAAAATCAGTTTGCATGTTATGCTTCAGTTTTTATGGGTCAGATTACCATTCAAAGCCATCAAAATGGCAACCCATATGTGATATGTCTGCCACTAGAACTAAAGTGATACACCATCATAATTTTAACATGGTTGGTTAGAAAAAGTTTGATTAACCATTAACCTCTGATATTTAAAAGTAAAAAGGTATTTTCCTTTCCAACAAAATTTTCACTTTGACAATTCCAGAAAAAAGCTTTGGGGAACCAAAAAGGAAAAGACATTATCACATCTTCATCCCTGAACAACTGTATCGGCAAGGCTCTCTTGGCAGAAGGTAGTTTAGCATCTATGCCAAATATTCACTTAATAAGTAAGCCAGGTGCAGATGTTGGCTATATAATTTATTCTTTGTTCTACAAGCCAGAAAATTGTTCCCACAGCTTTGGGGAAAAAAATGGGGATATGAAGAGCTCTCTGCATGTTTTCATTGGTGCAAGAAAATCATGTTTTAAAGACGCTCTCGTAGAAATAAGAAATGTGTCATTAGCAACATGCATAACTTAATTATAGACTCAGCAGCAAGCTGTGTCCTAAGGATACTAAAGGGATGCTGAAACAAGGTCAAAACCATGACATTCTGTTTCCAGCCTCCTACCCACATTCTGCCTCCCTGCAGTAGCCTACCAGACACAACTGCTGGGATCCATGCTCTGTGGGGGGTATTATTCCAGATGCTCCAGAAGCCATGCTTCTACATTTATGGGGCTTAAAGCAGGCAAGTCTGCTCCTGTGAGAAGTCTATTAAACAGTAAAAATGTATTTTAAGTCTCCTGCTATGTTATCATGGCACCTGAAATTCAAACAACTGTTATGCTAAATAACAGCCAAGGCCACCACCCTGTGTCATTACCAATGGGAAAATTTTTAATTCACAAGTTTTATCACCCCTCCAACTTCTGTACGTGATATTCTGTTTAAGAGATGATACTGATACTTCAGGTGTCTATTCTCTACCAAATTCAACACACAGAGCAACAGCAGATTCCCTCCACCATCCTGAGATTACTAATCTAGTAGTTCTGATAGAAAGATGAAAATATTGCTTCCTTTGGTATCTTTACTGGCAATTTGCAATTAGCGTTCTGCTACTGCATTTATCAGCATGCCTGGAATGGAGACACAGGTGTTCTTGAATACAAAATGCTCTTTAGAAATATCTCCTGCCAACTTGTATGGTCATATAACAAACCTGCACCACCTTCATTTCTACCATTTGTGTTTCGGCGTTTTCACCTTTCCTCCCTACATGAGGCAAATAGGCTCCTAACAATTTCCATAAAACAAACAAAAATATCACTTACAGCATTCAGAGCAAAGGTACTTTAATTATCTTCACAGATTAAGTCTCTCGAAGTCCAACAGTAAGCAACAGACCTGCAGAGAAGAATCAATTTTCATTATCTGTTTCTCCTCAACTCGCTACTTAAAGTACTATCAATAAAGAATTCCAGAGAAGCCCATCTGTAGCACAATTTATCAGTATGTAAGCTTTCACTTTTGTCTAACTAGTTACATTAAACATGAATTCATGGCCTTGATATGAATAGGTTATTGCTTTCTACTCAGAAAACACTTTTTAATAAATATACGCTACAAGAAGATATAAGTAGAGAGAAATTCCAAAGCGCTCAGTGGAACAGAACCTTCAATTTTCCTGTTAAGAGTTTTTGAAAGTAAGAAAGCATTTAACTACTTTAAAGAGCCATAGTTTCTAGTATTCGGAACTCTGTACAATGACACAGTAATTTCAGAGATTTACATATTTGTCAGAGAGCACAATGTTGCTGTGGAAAAAGCATTTATCAACATTAGGACAGCCTGGTAGCTCCTAAGCGAAACTCAAGTATTAAGCCCGGATGATTATTTGACTTTCCATTCCCACTGCCATAATGCTGCAATCTCATCTCAAAATGCTCAAGTACACTTCTGTAGGAAGATGCAAAGGGAATAACTTCTTGCACAAGACCCTACTTGCAGTACCAACCTTCCCTTTCAAAAATCATCTCCAAGAAGGCTGCAAAAAAATAGGAATTACTTCCCCGAGAGTTACTATTTTAACTGAAAACAAGCAATGCACAACTTAAGTGGAGTATCTTTACAGCTCTAGCAGACAATCACCACCTGATAATCCTCCCTTTTACAGTATTCTTCTTAACACATTTTAGCAGTATGTCACATATTGCTTCAGTGTTGCACCTTGGTGTAGTTTCTGAATGACTCATTTGGCCCCTAACATGAGAACTCAGGTTTCTGTTTTTCCACCTGTCAAATCTTTGGTGATCAACATGAGCTTACTCCCCTTCCATTGTATTTACCCTAACGAAAAGCTGCTTTTGACCCATGAGACAATTGACTCCATGTAAGAAACTCCTGCTTTATTGAACACTTGATTGTACAGTGAGTAAAGGAAATGAACTAATTCTATAAAGTCAACACTAATTCCTTTATTTAGAACTTGATCATAAGTTCGTTGAAGTCAAAGGAATGGATTATTCTGACTATCTAAAGACATCTGGATCAGGTCTTATCTCAGATCATCTGGTACTTCACATAAACTTTCAAAAACCACTTGAAACAAAAGTCCTGAAAGATAACAATGAGAGAAGAATCTGAATAGATCTATTATGCCTCCCTTTGAAAGATATAAGTCTTTAAAAAAATCTAAGGCAAAATTCTGAACTATATGCACAAACGTGGATCCAAGATAACTTGTCATGGATGAATTTTTTTCTTCCAAGTATTAATATTATCATAACTTTGCAACACAATGGTTGATAACAGTTTGGGATGCTCAATTTTTGATATTTAATTTAGGCAGTCATAATTGCCCTCTGAAGGCACATAATTACCCTGGGAACTGAGGTCCCAAGAATTAAGCACTGGAAAAAAAATCACACTTTGGTTACGTTCATAGATGCTTTGTTTGCAGCTAAGGCTTATGTATCCTTTTTCTTGCAAGATATCTGAGGCAAAGCCTTTGTCATCCATTCACACAATTAACACTGCCACCCAGATTCTCATTGATCTGGATCTTGAGCATCCATTGCCCTTTTATTTGGATTCAGTGTTGTCCTACTACTGTTCATCTACACTATGTTTTCCCACGCTGTTGCTTCATCTATGCTAGTCGTCTTTTTGCATTCCCTTACTGCTTCTCCCTTTTATTACATAAACAGAGGTAAGTTAGTTTCATTTCCAAATTCCTGATAGCATGTTATCTCCTGACTCGTCTCTAACACCAAGATATAGAATTCTGCCTCTAATTAGCCTACAATACTAACTTCCACAATTTAGTTATAAAATTTTTAATGTAACAACTATCTCAAAGCTCTCTTCCATGCTGTTCCCGTGCTACGGAAGAGTGCTCTGCAAACATCCACTAACGCACTTCCTTGCTCCACTTCAAACACTTCCTTAAGCTTATTCCTCACCCTGATGCCTCACGAATTTTCAGAGCCAGTTGTTACAAATAAAAAGATTAAAGGTTTCCCTTTCGCTGGAATAAATCTAAAACGCAGATTATGCTAAAATAAAAACACTGGGTAAAGTCACATGAAGCTAGGTCTTGTCATATCATGCACACAGGTAAAGTTCCCATAGGAGATGAAGTAAAACAAGGACCTAGAAGAACAGATTCAATTTTAACTAAAAGCCAATCCTAAGTCCACTGCAGCTTTCTAGCTTTGGTACAAGAACTGAATGCTGAAAGCTGCCTTATAACATTATTTTCCTCCATCATCTGAATTTGCTTTTCTGAATAGCAGGTAACACCTCTGATACCTACCTTGGATCACTCCTATTATTTAGCAGAAAACACCTATTATTTAGCATTGTTAATTAACATTTTGTGATAAACCTGCAGTTAGTTATGCCACTAGGACATTTATGATGCCCTTTCAGAAGTACATTGTCCTTTGCTGTTAACATGTAGCCAATATAATAGCCAAAGAGCAAAGCAATTAACTCCTCCATAGGCTGAAATTTAAACCAGCAATTACTTCCATAATTCACTTAACAGACCACCAGGCATCTTTGCTCAGAAAATTTTCAAAATCTATTCAAAATACACCCCATTGAGCTTTGAGAACACAATAAAATAGTAACAATTGCTATATTTCATTGTTTAGTGATAAACATGGCTTAAGGTCTAGCTTGAGTTTCTACTCTGGAGTCTTTAAAAGTTGGTTCATGTCAAACGTGAGGTTCCTTTACACTGACAGAAGTGTACAAAGGAGAACTGATGTAAAAGTGAACGACATTCCTAACAAGTTTACTTGCTTGTATAAGTTAACGCCAATAATCTCCAACTTGCTGTGTTATTTTTACCAACTGGAAGACCAATGTCTTCTCTTGCCCTTAGAATACAAAGCTGATCTGCACTTAATCACTTTTATATATTGTATTGACAATAATATTTCTGGATGTCTGAAGACTACCAACCACCTGCAGTCAGGAACAATGTTTGCATGGTACTGCTTATTTTTTAATACAATCTTTTTTTTTTTTTTTTAAAAAATCAAGTTCTACTGTGACCCTAAAACATGTTTGAGAAAACATGGGCTTGCTTTCCATTTGAAAGTGCAGCCATACTTCCAAGTATAACTTGGAGCCCAAGTCCATTACTGCCTGATTGAACAAAAGTATTGCTGTTCAATTTCATATTCATCATATATTAGACATGCCTGCCATATCCAAAAGGAACAGAAAAATGCTCTATGTAAAGTCTTTATACTTTAATAAACAGTCATTAAGTATAATTTACTAAATGTAAAAAAAGTATAAATCTTCCATTTCTAACACACCAAAATTATTTATCAGAAAGTTTAAAATAGGAAGTGATGGGCAGGAGAGAACAGGATTATCCACACATGTCTACTGTGGGATAAAAATATGAAGTTCTGATCCAAAGGCCAATGAAATCGATGAAATGTGACAGGAGAAGGAACAGAGTTCAGAAATTTGAAGTTAAATGAGTTTTAGGTATCTTCATCTTTATACCTTGGGTTTCCTCAAAAATTCCAATTTTGCAGACCCAGAACAACAAAATCAAAATAATTCTTTATATTTCATTAAATTTTTGCATTTGTCTTTGAGTAAATTTGCTTCTGTGGGCAAACAAAAATTGAAGCCATATACACATTATTTTCAAAAGGGTTGCCAATGTTTGTTAGCCGAATGATGAATCCCATTTACTTGCAACCTGTCTCTGTATATCACAACTCTACTTCCCACGGTTAGAACAGGATCAGAAGCACAATCAACTGACATTCTCATTTCTTTCTTCCACAATGCGCATTGGTCAGCTGTTATGGAGGGAAATATTTCCATAATAATCCCCCCAAAATTCCCCCTCATTTGTTTGCAATGAAAGAGTTAATATCTGTGACCCAAATATGGAGACCCATTTTAAACTTGCTGAAAATTGCTTTTTAATCCTCGCTCTCGAGGATTTCCTTTGAAACCATCTGCCATGCACGCTGAGTACTTTTTCTGTATATATGCAGGATTACTATAATATGGATTCTTTTGTATAACTTAATACATTTCAGCATATTAAAAAATTAGTTGAAATTTTCATTCTTTTCTTATTTCAGCTGTATACCATAAAAGTGACTGTAAAAGTCAAAATCAGTGATGAGTTCATAGCAAAACCAACACTCATATTTATCTTATTTACTGCAGTATTTACATTGCAATTCTAATATATTTAGTCAGTCTAGCACTGGATAGGATTTAAGCAAAGTTACGAGTCGTTTAACTAATGTAACTTATGCACATGCTTAAGATTTAAGCTCAAGAATTTTCCTCAATAGGAATGGATTTAAGCATGTGCTTTCCCAACTAGAGCATAGTTTGAACACTGGAAGACACAATTAACATCATGATAATTAAAGATCAGAAGAGATTTCAAAATATTATTTCAAATCTATTCTTCGGCTTTTTCTGTCTTCTTGCTATGAACCTTTATGCAGTTGTATTGTTATAGTACAAATACTAAGAAGCAATAAAGCCACATTCATAAACAGAGTCTTAAAACTGGCACATGCAAATTTATATATTTTAGCAATCATCCAAAACATAAAAGAAAAGATATTGCTTCCTATCAGAATAATCACAGAGTGATTGAAATAGTAAACATTCAGCAAGACAGATTTATAATCAATTTATTGGATCAACCTATAAAGTAAAAATATCAAAATCCCAACACAATTACTGGCATTTCCAATGTGGAATACTTTTACAGACGGTGATTTGCCTGCAAACATTCTGAGAACTGAAAATAAGGGAAACTGTTTGCACAGCTTTAATCACATAAGGTGACGCTAACATTTCAGAAGACAGACAGGCCATAGCCTGGGAACGTCTTTGTTTCA